ATATAATTAATTATTTCATAATGCATATTCCAATATTTAATAATTTATAATATATATGATCTTATGAATTATTTTACTTTCAAAAGACATATAAAGAACAAAATAGAAAAAAAATAATTAATTTATAAATATAAAGAATTTAGAAAATTAATAATATAATTATTTTTGTAGATTAATTAATAATTTAATATTATACTAATTAATAAGTAATCTATTTAATTATAAATAGAATAATAATTTGTATAATAATTTCTAAAATAATCTATAATAATTTATATGTGATATAAATAAAAATTTGTATAATTAATATAAATTTTGTTACAAAAAATATCAATATATTATAGTTTTAAATATTATATACTCTTTAATTAAAAAATTTAATCCATAAATAACATATAAATATTATATTTTAATTATAATTATAAATTAAATTTGAATTATATATAATATATTAACTTTTTAAATGATCTATATTATAGTAAAATAATAAAAACTGTAATAATAAATATTATTATTTATAATAAATTTTATAATATGTATTATAATTTATAAAGACTTATATTTAAGATATTAATAAGTTTATTAAAAACTAACAATAAAAATTTTTAGAATACGAAATTTTTAAAGTAATTTTTTAGCTTATAAATAACACTATTTTTTTATAATTATTAAAAAATAAAAATAACTATATATAATATATAATTAAAGCTAATATTAAAAAAAAATTTAATTTTTAATAAAAATAAATTAAATATAAATTTATAAAAGTTTAGCTTGAAAATTTGTTTATTAAACTCTACTATTTAAGATATAGTTTAAATACTTTTAAATTAACAATATATTTTATATTAAAATCTTTTAATTTTTTAACTAAAAGTAAATTCAAATTTAACTGATAATATTATCAAGAAATTTTTTATAATATTATTGGTTAAATTTTGAATTTATTTTTTAGTTAAGAAGTTAAGAAAATTTTTAATATTAATTAAAATTATGCTTTTGTATTCTAAATTTACAGTTTAAAATATATTATATTAAATTTCAAGTTATTATAATTATTGTTAAAAAGTTATAACTAAGATACAAATATATAATAAAATGATATGGCAGATAATTAATATAAAACTAATAAAAATACTTATATTCTAAGTTTATAAATTCAAAATATTCTGAATATACAATATTGAATTTTTAGTTTTTTAATTACTCTTAAAAAATTATCTAACAAAATATTATAATTTTATATCTTAAAATCTTTAATAATATATTATATACTTTATAAAACATTGTTAAGAGAACTAATATTTTGATATACTATTATAACTTAATAAATGTCATATATTTTTAAAGTATATTTTTTAAAATATATTATTTTAATATATTATATCATATATTTTAAAGAGTAACTACAAAAACTTGAAATTTTATTATAGAACATTTAAAATTTATGTTTTTAGAATATCAATACAAGTTCATAATTTTTATATGAGTATCGCACAAAAAACGTGTCCGATAACTTTGTTCCACTAATATTGCTAAATAATATTATTGATAACCATGCCATGGTAAAAAGTATATTTATTCGAATTAAAATATAAATAGTAAAAATTACAAATAGTATTATTTAAAAAGCAGATATTTTGGATATGTCTTTATTTTAGAAATATTCTGATTAATGATGGCACCACAACTATATAACACCTATTTGTTATCATGTTGCAACTTGTTACAATCAAAAATTTTATAAGTCACAATTAGTTATAATATAACATTCGCCGATTAAAACAAAATAATTTTGTTTAAACAAAAAATATTTACTATCAACCATCTTTGCCAATTTCTCTAGTAATCTTTTTTTGTTTTACAGTATATCCATTTTATAATTTATGCTTTCGTATGTTTCTGGTCAAGGTTTGTTCAATTCGTTCAGGTTGACGGAATGATATAAAAATTGGTATATCCTCTTTTTTTAGGTGCATTTTTTTTAGGAAGAGCACAGAACATCGCGCACCAACTCAAACTTGAATTTCCATTATAATTTCTATAAACTAAATCTTAGCCGAAAAATTACGCTTCACTAAAATGGCAACGAAACATTGAATTGTCTATAACATCGCTGTTATTTTCATACTTGAACTGGAAAAGTGGTCTAGGGCGTCTTGTGGAGAAAGAAATTTGATTCGGTATTGCCATATATAGCCTCAAAAGTATTAAAAGAAAAGCTATATCGGACATTTATAGCGTAGCGGTAGGAATATCGTTGTGGGAACAATTACTAAAGGAAATCACTATTAACCTTTTAGCTTTTGATATAATCTCTGATAAAACCAAAAATCAAACTTGCACCGGGACTAAGGAAGGGAGAAAAGAAAGAAGCTTATAGATTAGTTATTTAAGATAACGATAAACGCTATAAATGTCAAATTTTATTGATTGTTCCCTTATTTAGCAAAAAGTTCATGTCGATTATCCTTGCATAGAAATAAGGTTTATTGAATTTTCTTTTCTATTCCTTTATTTAACACAATAAGGTACTTATTTTCGTTATTGTAAAATAAAGCCTGATGAATTAGCGTTATTCAAACGTTTAAATTTTATTTATAAAATATGCTGTGACATAATTTACATTTTTTGTTATCGTTATTGTGATAGGAAATTATCGCTTTTCATAAAAATTGGATATTCTAAAGTATTTAAATATTTCTTTATGTGGAAAAAATCTGTTTAGTAATAATATTATCTGGTTATATTATTAATTCTAATTATTCGACGGTCGCATACGTGGGTCAACAGAAAATACAGTTCTCGTCAGAAGTAACCTACCCTCCATAACTTTCCGTAGATCATGTGTAATGTACCGAGCACTAAGAACATTACAAATGCTGATCATTGATACATGTACTTTTTTATGCTTCTATATTTCGTATTATATGTTATAAACTTTTATGTCTTAAATACAATGACATATTATCTCGTTTGATTTGCCTAGATTAGAAAATCGGATGGTAGTATTTTCACACAAATTGGATCATTAGACGTCGTCCTAAGTGACCGATTCATATTTGTCGATCAATTTTTCATTAGAAATTGATCGCCAAAAAAATGAATTGATCAATTTAGGATGTATCGGTATATACATGTACATGTAATATCTTGATCTCCAGTGATCCAATTCGAACAAAAATAATACCATTCGATTTGTCTAGTCAAAACGAATCGAATGGTATTTTTTTTTGTTCGAATCGGATTACTGGCGATCGAGATTACACGTCCTAAATTGGCTGATTAATTTTTGTTAACTCCAAAAAAAAGAATCTGACGTAATATTTCGATGACCAGTGATCCAATTTGAACAAAAATATTACCACCTGATTCACCTCGATTGGACGAATCGAATGATTGTATGTTTATTCAATCGGATCACTGAACGTCAAGAATTAGATTATTGAATGTTGAGATGTGTGATGAAATAACCAATGTTCGTATTTTGGACATGAACATACAACACCCGATATAGAAGCTTTACCAATCAACAATCAGCATTTGTAATGTTCTTTGTGCTCGGAAAATTTTTGTACATTACACATAATCTACGGAAAGTAGGTTACTTCTGACGAGCGCTGTAATAAACTCCAACATATTAATAGATTTTAAAATATTCATTTAGCAGGCTTTTCTGCATTTAATTATGTCGAATGATTTATAATAACTTGGAATGCAAAGGTAAATCCGTTAAACCGAATACCTTGTTCCTTCACGTTCAGTTTAACGGGGTTGACTATCAAGATAATAGAATGTTGGTAAAACAATGATATACTAATCAGAGAATTCACGTATAATGAGCAATTTTGTGTTTTATTTTACAGATAATACGAATGGATTCGATCAAGAGGAATTTGAAACATTAATCAAGAGAATTTATAATACGAACAAGACTTATTTTATTTTTACGGATAATACGAATGCATTCGAGAGAAAACAATATTATAATTGAGTTGTCGAGTTAAATTCTTATATTATAGAAAAAATTATTTTCGACTTTATGTTTTATTGAATCTTTCAAAGAAAGTTGAATTCCTTTGATTCATCTAATTAAAGAAAAAGCCGAATCTTTCATTCAAAAAAACTTAAATGCAACTAATACATCCGCCTCTATTTTCGTTCCTAATATACATAATGTGAAAGGTAGATAAAATAATGATAATGTTGAAAGACTACGTATTGTTCTATTAATAATTTTCATTTAACTCGGCTTCTTCGAGTTTTTTACGGGTTGCTTCGCGTTCTTGCTTTTTCTTTTGTCGTTCGGCTTCTTCTTGATTGAGATTATTTCTTTTACTATTTATTATAATGAACTTTCTAAAACCAACTCTAGACTGTAATCAACTTATTTGCCAAAAAAAAATAAAAAAATTACATACATCATCTCTGTGATGTATTATTTTGTGGATGTTTTATTATATTCAAAAACCTTCTTTGGACGTTCGAATAAGTAATAACTTAAGAGTCCATTAGTCGAAATATTGATTCTGACGTAGGAAAATTTGATCGTAAAACCCTCAGTATTACGACATAGTTACGGCAGTTACGTTTGCACGTCTTCAAAATGAAATAAGAAATCTCCTTAAGAAATCTCCATGCAGTTTCAAAGAAATTTAAGTGAACGGGGTCACTTATTGTGACGCAAAGCTTTTTGGGAACGAAATAAGCAATAGATCAAATATTTTTTATAGAATGGATCAAATTCGAGTTCGATACGTACTTTGAAGAATGTAACTGATAATGTTTATGAATGATAATTATGATCCTCAAATTAGTTAGTAGTTATGTATATGGTATGTGCTCCTGTTCGAAAATTAAAGCTATAGAATAAACTGCAGATTCCATTCCTATTTTTCTTCATGTCCATAAATAGTTGTGAACATGTTTGTTATAAAAGGAAATGTCATCCTCATTTATGTTGAGCAAATTCATCCGTGCACTCTACCTTCAGAAAAATAATGAAGATACACATCTTATTCTTCCTTCTTGCTACTCTATTCTCGCCGATTTTTGGTGATGAATTCCCCGGTGGATTCCCTTTTTTAGGTGATTCAAACCCCTTTAGAGCTGGTGGCGCTGGTGGTCAGCCACCGAATCAGCCACCGAATCAGCCAATTAATCAGCCACCGAATCAGCCACTGAATCAAACAACTTGTTCAACCACTCGTGCAGGTGAATTGATGAATATCGCTTTAGAATTGGTAGAAAAAGAGAATAAAAGTCCCTCTGAATCATGTGTAATAAAGAAAAAGGGAAAAGGTCAGTAAATAGTAATGATGAATGAAGAAACTCTTTTTTACCTGCAGTTTTAAAGGATTGTGCTAATTCTCGTTATACTTCGCTTTTTAGGAATCTTTGCGGTCCCTGCTGTTTCTAGAGCATACCGTTCTGTTGCTGCAGGCATGTATAATGTTTGGTAAGCTTTAAACACAACCAAGTCTATAAGTATTGGTGCAATATGAGCTTTTAATTCGCCACAAACTAAATACAATTTTCTGGTTTAAACAATTAGGGCCAAGTTTCATCCAACTGCCGTTACTACCTTTTATGACAACGATCCCTTCCCCAGACTAAATGGCTCAGATAATCGAAAGCAAGAGATAATCACCTACGCTGCTTTCTATGTTCTTGAGTACCTCCTACCTGAACGTGTGCAACTCAACAAGACGATGGAATGGTTAAACTCCAAATACCAAGTAAACTTTAATTCGACTGACGCAAAACTTGCCAAGAATATTACCGAAAGACTGATTGAACAATTGAAAGTGGATGGTTTTAACCAACAAGGATGCTATGTTGACACTACGGGATATATACCAGCGTATGTTGTCAAAGTATATAATACGTGCTTTGTAAATTCTTTGGCCCTTGCTTTGCTAATGATCACATCTTGTTTGTAGTAATCCACCAACAGATTTGACAAATAAAGTCACAATTCATTTTTCCCGCTTGCATCAACTCAAAAAGTATAATTGGTCACAGGAAATTCGTAGGGGAGATGTTGATACTCCACGTCCATTTCAGAACCCACAGGCATCTAAAGGCAAACCTTTCATCTCAGAACAAAAGCTCAAATCACTGTTAGCTCCAGCACCAAACCTTAAAGGATTCGACGCGCAGTACCAAGAGGTTGCAGAGGTTATAATTAATGACACAAAGAAGATCATTGTTGAGTACTGGGCCGATGGACCAAATGGCTATTTAGAACCAGGAACCTGGCAAACGATCGCACTAGAAGTAGTTGCTCGAAAGTGTTACAATTTGGATGAGGTTGTGACGCTATTGTTTGCAACTACAAACGCAGTTTACGATGCAGCCATTGTTGCTTGGACGGTAAGCATTCATAATAGTTCACTTTCTGTAATGTTTTTGACCAACAACTGATGTGATATAAATTGCTTTTTCTAGGCCAAACGCACGTATGCTACAGCACGACCATCCACTTTTATTCCAGTGTACCTTCCTAATCTCACTCTTCCTAATGCATTCCGAGGTCACCATTGTCCCAGTGGTAAGATTAGAGGTGAACAGTGGCAGCCGTATCAAGCCAAGAATTTTATCACTCCACCTTTCCCAGGTTATGTTTCTGGGCACTCTACCTTTAGCCGCGCTGTTGCAGAAGTTCTGGGTCAATTCACTGGATCAGACAGCATTCCAGGAGGACCTTTGACGTATGCATATATTACTTGGACATAGCTTACAGTGCATTTACAATTTTTTAGATTCTTACGTTACGTTGAATTTTTTCAGATTTATTGCTCCAAAAGGTAAATCAATTTATGAACCGTTCTGCGGTTGGAATATGACAGATGCATCCGGAAACTCTTGCGAATTTATGGTATGCAAAGTTAAGCCGCGTTTCAACTCAGAAACCACATTCACTCCAAGAGAGGATGTAACTCTTTCGTGGACCAGTTTCATGTAAGTTCTATTCTAGGTCAGCACATCCCATTTCTGAACAGTTTTAAGTTATACACTTCTCTATTTGTTTATATACAGACAAATGGCAAATGAGTCTGGCATTTCACGACTTTATGGTGGAGTCCATATTAATGATGATACTATTGAGGTATTGTGTTACTTTAATTTTTGACTTCTGAACGAGACTCGGAGAACTTACTGATGTTGTACAAACAATCTCAATAGGGAGCCGAAGCAGGCAGGAAGCTAGGGCTCGAAGTTTGGGAAACCGTGCAAAAGTACCTTAAAGGTCAACCGCAAAAGATTTAAAAGTTTTACAAATGAGTATAGTAATATAATTATTATTAGCGATGATGTGTTAACGTTAAGCACCGATTGTGTGTACGTATAGAACTAAAAACATGAAATGAATTCACCTATGTTAGCCTTTATTATTTTTTGTTTGAATCTACCATGGAAGGTTTGAGGTTGATGTTTGCAAATTTGTTGTCACTTTTTAAAAGGTGACATGTTCGATACAGTGGTCTAGCAGAATATTGCGGACACTTTTTAAAATGTAATAACGCAAAAACCAATTGTTCTAAGCTAATAGATTTATTTAAACATATTGTACATAATACAAAATTTCAAGTGATTTTAATAACTAGTTCAAAAAAAACATAAAATTGTAAAAGATAAAATTTGGTGTCAAACCGAAATTTATGCGGAAAAAAATAATCTATTTTATAAAGATACAAATAGTGAACCAAATTAAATAAAATTTTACCAACAAATTCACCAAGTCAAGACGCATCTAATAATATCAAAATCATCCAATTAGGATTACTAGATGCAGAGATATCGTGTTTCAAAAATACCGTACAAAAATCGAGGTAAAAATTTTTTAAAGAAAATTTTAAAGAAAAATATTTTTATGAATATTTCCGCATCCAGTGAACAAAAATGGATGATTTTGATATCATTAGATTCACCTAGTCAAGGCGAACTAATGATATCAAAATCATCTAATTTGGTTCATTGGATGCGGAGATATTCGCAAAATACTATTTTCTTCAAAAAATTCTATCCCGATTTTGAATGTGATCTTTGAGACGTGTATCTCTGCACCTAGTGATCCAAATTGGGTGATTTTGATATAATTAGATGCGTCTTGACTTGGTGAATCTGTTGACAAAATTTATTTAATTTGGTTTACTGGATACGAAGATATTTGCATCTTTATAAAACAAAATATTATTTCACATAAATTTCGGTTTGATATTAAATTTTATCATTTACATTTTTATATTTTTTATTTGAACCAATCATTGAAATTAATTGAAATTTTGATATATTGTACAATATGTTTCAAGAAATCTATTAGCTTAGAACAATAAATCTGGTTTTTTTATTGGTTTTTGCATTATTACATTTTAAAAAGTGTCCACAATATCCACCTGAAATCTCACTGATTCCAATTAAAGAAATTCGAGACATATTCGTGAAATTACCTTACATAACGATAACGATGAAAAATTAAATTTGACTAATTATCTCGGTTATTTTGGATTAAATTTGATAATATATCTAAGTTAATAATATTGCAATTATACTTGTGATGATAATTATACATCCTTTTTCTTTGAACGTATTATTATCGTTATGTTATTATTAATAAATAGATTAAACAATCGTTTCAGAAAGAAATTTGATTTTTAAATGGAAATAAACCGGAATGTATAAAAAATATGATATCTCGAGAACTAGTGGTTCAATTACCACTATTTGATTCATCTCACTGGCAAAGCGAATAGATATCATGTAAAAACATTTATTAAAAATAAATTGGAACGTTTTTATGTCCAATTCGAATGAATTTATCACCATTTGATTTGTCTCAATGTGATAAATCGAATGGTGGTAGTTTAACTTGGGGAATTATGATAGTGAATTTGATTAAATTTCGCTTGGAAATATGTATACTTGTTCCAGATAATTACAGTATTCTTTATTTGAATTTCCTTTTTATAAATCTGTACATTTTTGATTTTTGGTATTTCTTAAATTATATAGTGAAAAATCTTTTCAAAATCCATCTCATTAATTGTTCTAATAGGTATTTGAATTCTGATTCAAAAGTCATTAGAATGCCAACATAGAAAATTACAATCTTCCAATTATTGTTTCTTTATATCATACTCGCTTTCAAATAACTCATCATTAGAGAGCTCAGAATCAGTTTTGACAATGACTAAATTTTTTTGATCATGAATGTCAACCAATATGCTAAATGTTCTTGCCTCAGTTACGTCAACTTTTGTTAAAATTACAATTCTATTAACTATGATTGGGAAGTTATTGATTACTTTGAAAGATTGCTTTGATAGTTCATTAATATTAGTCATAGTGTTATATGATTTTTGTTGGATTTTAATGTTGTGTTTTTTTAGAAAATCATAACTGAATACACATCTCAAAGCTTTGATGTCTACAATGAGATCAATGGATATTGTTCTAATTTTGGTTTCACATTAGGCTAAGGTAATTTTTTTAGTATGACTAATTATTCTTGTAGTTTTCCTTGTAGTCTTTTTTTTAATAAATCATCTCATCCTTTTTAACATTTTTATTTGTTGCTCTGAAGAGATTTTGATGAGTTGTGTGATCATAATGTTGATTTAATAATGATGAGATTATCTAGGATGTCATAAGAAATAGCATGTAATACTAATACAGGTAGTTCAATTTTGATTTTTTTCTTTTTCTTATCTTCAAGTTTACTTATTATCAGATTTTAATTAATTATTGATTTATTATTCTATTTAATAGTTTAATTCATATTGTTATAATATGAATTTTAATATATCACATAATTTATTTTGATTGGATAATTAATTTATATTAATTTGTAAATTATATTCATATTTATTTTATATTATCTGTATTTTACTCATATTATTTCATTTTATTTTTATATTATTTTATTTTATTTTAATTATAATTTATACTAATTATATTATTATTATTATTATTATTATTAGTATGAAAAATACATGTTAATTGATTTATATAATCTAATTTAATTGATATTAATAATAAAATATATGTAACATTAGTATAAGTAATGTGTAATCATCAAGTAAGTGAATGATATATAATCATCAAGTAAGTAAGCACTTTTATAATCATAATATTAATCAAAAATAGTTTTAAACTTTAAAAGTTGAGTAATAATAACTTATATAAATATAATATGTATCTTAACTTAGAAAAATAATCTTCTACTATTTTTAATTTTCTATCAATTTAATTAATTTAATAATTAGTCATTTGATTATAATTTTTTTTTAACAAAATCTTCTTAAAAGTGAATTATATTGTAAGTCTTGGATTAGAGATTTTTAGTCAAGTATTAATTACTTTTTTCTTTCTTATTTGTATTTTTTTATTTTTAAAAATCTCTCATTTATAACAAGTAATATCTTTTATTTAATATAATTAACCTCTCATCACTATATTATAAAATTAGTTAATATTATTTAGAAATTTAATAAAAGAAAAAGATATTTTAATTAAAAGTTAATTAATAAAAGAAAATTACTTATTTAAATTAAAAGAAGATTTTTGAATTTATTTTAATTATTTAACAAAATAAACACTTTGTTATTTATCTTTAGTAAATTAGTCTCTTTCAACTTTAAATATTTAAAATATATAAAAATCTTTAATTAAATATAATAACTCTTCCATTTGATCAAAATACATAAAGAATACATGATTTATATTTAAAGATTATAAAATTAACTAAAACAGTAATAATATTATTTTGTGCATTATTTTTTTATTTTAGACTTGCTCGTTTACATTCTTCTACTATATAGTTATGCATTATCAAAAGTAATAATATCAACATATCAAGAATATTAGCTTGAGGTGTTTGAGTTATCTGTAAAATAGTCATAAATATTTGAATTTGTGAGAATAGTATATTAATATTGGTCAAATAGTTATTATTTGTAACTGGAGCTGAACTTGAAATTATCTTTATTGATGCAAAAAAGTTATTATTTTTAAAGATTGAGTTTGTATTATAAATTATTTATCAATTTGATTGATTATTTATCTGGTAATTGCTATTATTAAGAGAATTTGTATAATATTATTATATATAATTAGTCTGATTATATTAGTAATAAATTATTCAGCTTTTATAGTTTTATTAATTATAACTCTGATTATATGTTTATAATGAGTAGATAATGAGTAATTTGTCTTTCTAATAATTTTTACTTGTTTTAATTTATTGATTAAATTTTGAAGAATCTAATTTAAAATACTAAGATCAATGATAAATATTGTCTGAATCTGATAAAAAGTCTTTGTTAATCTATTAATATTAGTTTTTTTAATAATTTTGATCATTCTGTTCATATTTATATAAATTTATTTTCTAATATCTGGCTTGAGTTCTCTTTTGTAAGTATGAGTTTTGTAATAATTATTAGAATTAATTTTTTATGAGTTAAATGAACTGATTGATATATTTTTTCATAGTTCTATCTTGTTTTAGAGTTTTTAATTTTTCTTGTTATTGCTCTATCTTTTTGTTCATTTAGAACTTTAAGATAAATTAGTGTTTAAAATTATATTCATTATTTTGTTGATTTATCCAATTATTTAACTAAAAATTATTATTAGTATTTCTTTAATTAAATCAAATGATAGCAGTTTTTTCAAGATATTCTTTTACAATTTGAATTTTTTTCTTATTAGTAATTTCATTAGCTCAAATAACAATTTTGAAATTCTGAAATCATTCAACTAGATCTTGATTTTTGCTTCAGAATTTTTTAATTGAAATAAAGATTTTTTCTAATTATTAAACCAATTCAGTATTCATAATATTAGTGCAGTATTGTACATTTTGAATGTCCAAGCACTTTTTTGACTGTCCAAATGTCCAAACATCCAAATGTTCAAGTATTCAAACTCTTATACTATTAAAAATCAAATAAAAAATATATGATTATATACAACGAGAAATTCTAAACATTTTTAATTAGAGTGTCCAAACAGGTTATTTTAATAAAATTTTGAGTAAATTTGATTTATTTTTTGTCCAAAATGTCCAAGATTATCCGAAGACATGTCCAAAGCTGTCCCATGACAACACTGTATTAGTGAGTTTAGCCAAGACTTGAATAAGTTTATTTATATATTCTGTCATTTTATTATTTTCTTTATTATCTAATTCTTGATTTTTAATTTCATTTACTTTAGAACTTTTATTACTGATTTTCATATTTGATTCTGTTCTATGAGTAATTTAT